ATAGAGTCACAACGCATGCTCAGTTCGCTGCATTATATCGCTATGATAGATTTTCTAATCAAAAAAGTCATCAACTTCACTTTAACGCTTAATATCTCGGTTTGCGAGGCAGACCGCCGTATTTTTTTGCCAGATTCTTTTATCTATTTATCTATTTAACTATCCGTGTGTCCATTTCCTATTGTGTCCAATTAGCACTGTGTTCGATTTCAACCACCTTGTGTCCGTTTATTGTATCCGTTTGCGAACCTGTGTCCGCTCCATTCAACCTACTGTGTTCGATTTATTCTGTGTGCAACTGGGACTTCCCCAAAAATTCTGGATGTTGAGAGTATAACAATAACGGTTGATCTCAGAAATGATACGTATTAAGAGACAAAAGAACGATTTAAATGTAAAAACAGATACCGAATTGTTAGATCGTGCTTATTTTACGTTTATAAACAAATAACCGCATTATTATTTTGTGCGATGTCAAAACAATCTTGCCAGCTCCTGTATTATGATTACATCTATTTTACCGCCGTGAATTGTTCTTTACTTTACAACGTGACTTCGGACAGTGCGGTTCTTTTATTTTATCTTATATAATGTCTTCAATTTTTCGTGTTCCAATTTGATTATGTTTTATGGATTAAGTTTTAAAATCGAACTGTTGTTTTGACTTCAATTTTATATTTTTTTAATTGCTGACTGTTAATTTTATTTATTATTTATCATAAATATGCGAAATTTTTCTGTGGACGGTTTGGAGTTCAGCTGACTATGCTTTGTGTCACATCTTAGCTGTCGTAACAAAAATCTTACTATTATTATTTTTAGCTTCTTGCACATTTTATCACTTCCATCCAATCGTGCAACTGTATGGACAACGTTTCATACTGAGATGTACAATGAGTATTTTTATCAAAGGCATAAAATTTTGTACTAAAACCATATGACAGTATTATTCGGTGATTTGTATTGAAAATGACTCAATGAGCCGAAACATTTACTTTTACTTTTGTAACATTATACTATTAATTAAATCTCTCGTCACAAAACCTGCGTTTGACTCATAATTTGCCATGTTATCTTTCTAATTTGTTATTGTTCCATTCAGAGTCCTTTAATTTTTATTATCTGTTAATAATTGTTCAATTTAAACACACAAGTTTGCAAATTACTAAAGGTAAAAAAATATCGTACGTTGTCAGTGATATATGTACTATACGTATCATGGTTTAGATCTTTTACCCATCATAATTACATATGTCTTTATGAATAAGTATTAAATTGTTACCACAAAATTATACAGGTATGTATCACATTACTAGTTACAGAAACAGATGCATTAAGTTAAAAGATATTAAATCCAATTCCTGTCTTAACTTCTCTTCTTGTTGGATATTATCGAACCATCTCGATACATGAACATATCGAGCTTTCTCTGGATGGCTCAATTTTTTCTGCAAAAAAGAACAACAAAATATGAGTTACATAAATGCATACATCATTGACATAAATTTGCTGTAATTTGTATTTGCTATTACCATTATGGAATATAAAACGTAATACAGTACAATGTCTGCAATAGTTTTTCTTGTTCCAGTTATATATGGCACATCTTTTAATATCATATTTAGTTCCTGCAATCACAAGCCATATCGATATTTTGCTTCTATGTAGATAAAATATATTTATATAAAATATAAAATATATGTTTGTATGTATACCACATTACATTTAATACTCTTTTAGCATTGGCAGGAATATCCACATAATTGACACAGGTTATAACATATTCTAACCATTGCTGCGTTAGCGCTCGGGTTTCTTTTTCATTGCCTAGTATATTAGAATATTTTGATTTCCTTGCGAGCGCTTGCACAATAGTGCTAAAACCTTGAATGGATAGCAAATTTTCTTTGTATTCTGGAATATCTGCCTGTATTATCTGCAACAATCATATGCAAATTAATATGTCGTGATGTTGAGTTAATAAATCTATTACATTTGGTCGTTACATTGATTTGGTAACGTTATAAAAAAAAATATATTTTCATTGAACATTAATATTTAATAAAATTTTATACGTGTATATAAGGTGTCCAGATGTGATGCTGTGTCAATAGTAACACTTACATTTTTATCAGATACTTGAAGTTTTCCTGAAGAAATATCAAGATATCGCGCAATTCTTTCTATACATTCGACATTACATAGACCCATGATAGAAATAGATGTAAATGATACAATATTCAAAGGCTGAAATAAGTTGAAAATATTGAAATGCAGGCAATAATGCATTAAATGTATTGTACACTAACGCCCTCTTAGAAAATATTATGACTGAAGATATTGCTCTGTATGCCTATTCTCTAACTTCGTAACGACAATGTCATTATCGTTACGTAGCGACAATCGGCGCTTGCGCTGGCGATACTATAACGACAAGGTTATTCTGTCACACAAGCTAACGAAATGATATCGATACAAAATGTGATTTCGATGTCGTTATCGTAACGAGTATACTCGGTTTCATATAACTTTTTCGTTGTAATATCTAACCAATAAAATCTCTTGTCTAACATCCTTTTCTAATGAGTTTAGGAATGTGAAAATAAATTATCGATGATAAAATTATAAATTTACAATAAAATGGGTAAAGTGGGAAATAGTAATAAAGCTTGTGCAATGTCAGAGTAAATATATATAAATAATTTAAGTAATATATGAAAAAGTATTGATAAATTACATATGAAATTGATATTAATTACTAGCAGTTCAATTGGTCAATGATTAATTATTTATTTTGAGTGTTAAAGGCACTGTTGTTGGTGTTATATACAACAGGTTACATAGAAAATTAATACATAATTTTTTAAATTATTAAATATAATAATAATAGTAAATTATTAATAATAATATTAATTATTATTAATAATAATTAATAATAATAATTAATTATTATATTTAATGTAATTTAATGCTATTAAATATAATTATTTAAATTATTTATTTAACTTTCTTTTTTTTACATATTAAACAATTTTTTTTAAAGTATGTAATATATATTCCGTGCCAAATATCATTCAGCCATTTTACCTTAAAATAAGAGAAAATCTTAACTATCTAAAATTTCTTATGAAAAACATCTGATTTACATTGCATATAATTCATAACTAAAATATAATCTATATCTATTTATTTATTTATTTTAATATCCTTAAATGTTATAACATTGATAATACATTGTTTTTAATTAAAATATTTTATTGTAATATTACTTTTTGCGTGCTCTTCTTAATATTTAATATGTTTAAAATAAGTTTATGATGTTCATATATTTAAATTATAAAATTATGCTATACTTGCATACTTCCGTACTATTATTCGGAACCGCTTCGGAACGTTGCTATTGATTGATATATCTAGTTATGTTGTCGTTATGGCTTATCGAGGGGTCCGATACTCCTCGATATTTTAACGATAAGATTCGATACTTTATCGATACTTTTAACGACATCGTTACGTTAAATTAATACAGACATACATTAATTACAGAATACTATTTTTCGTTATAATGTCGTTACATCTGCGTAAGGACATCTCTAGCTAGTGAAACTGTCGTTAAGAAGTTAAAGAATAGGCCTACTGTAGGTTAGTGTCGGTCCACAATAGGTGATTTAAGCTTTAAGACATAAGAAATTGACCAATTATAATATGAAAAGAATAATTGATTATGATTGGTCAATTTCTTACGGCTTAAAGTTTAAATACTTATTGTGGACTGACACTTAAAGAATAGGCCTATTGTAGGCCTATTCTTGAACTTTTTAATGACAGTTTCACTAGCTAGGGATCTTTATGCAGATTTAACGATACTATAACGAAAAATGTATTCTGTAATTTAATGATAAATGTCGTTAAAAGTATCGATAAAGTACCGAATCTTATCGTTAAGGTATCGAGAGGTATTGGACCTCTCGATAAGCCATAACGACAACATAACTAGACATATCAATCAATAGCAACGTTCTGAAGCGGCTCCGAATAGTAGGACGGAAGTATGTAAGTATAGTATAATTTTATAATTTAAATATATGAACATCATAAACTTATTCTAAACATATCAAATATTAAGAAGAACACGCAAAAAGTAATATTACAATAAAATATTTTAATTAAAAGCAATGTATTAGCAATGTTATAATATCTAAGGATATTAAAATAAATAAATAAATAGATAGAAACCATAGATAGAAATTAAAATGTTGTGGCCCATATTGGGTTACAGATTGTAATTAGGGAAAGTCGGGTTCGCTGAGCCTTAAGAGTTAGAACTCCGAGCAAGATAGTAGATGGAAGGTTCTTCTGGCCAAATATTATTACTCACTTTTGTTAAGTAGCTGATATATTGGTACTTACTTCTTGACAATATTTCGTGTGAATCTCACTATTACTGATAACAGCTGGCCGTGATGAAATACAACTGTTCTGTTACGTATTGTGATTGCCCAATAAGTGTAATTAATACAACTATCGAAACTATTGAAATTACGACGCCGAGTGTAACGTTAGACGCCGTGTAGCTAGGTGACGCAATGGAGATGCTCACGTTACATGAGAGCGACGGCCGTACTGTACAGTTACGGCAGGAATGCTTACAAAAATTGTTACGGACAGAACATCTAAATCACGAGGAAAAGAAAGCATTAACGCAGATATGCTCTGACTTCTGCGACGTATTTCACGTACGATTCACTGACACTACGACAATAGCACATGAAATAAACACACGTAGCGATAACACGCCTGTAAATGTGCGATCTTTAGACAGATTGACGGAGAAACATAAAGCAGAAGTAAATCAGCAGGTTGATAGGTTATATTTTACGTATGAATTATATGCAATGTAAATCAAATATTTTTCATAAAAAATTTTATAAAAAATTAACATTACTTAAAAAAATTTTTTTAATTATGTAAAAAAAAGAAATTTAAACAAATAATTTAAATAATTATATTTAATAACATTAAATTACATTTAATTACATATAATTATTAATTATTATTATTTATTATTAATAATAATTAATAATTATTAATAATTTATTATTATTATTATTATTATCTTATTATTTATTTTATTATATTTATATATTATTTATATATTATATTTAGTTATTATATTTAATAATTTAAAAATTATGTATTAATTTCCTATGTAACCTATTGTATATAACACTAACAATAGTGTTTTTAACACTCAAAATAAATAATTAATTATTGGCCAATTGAACTGCTAGTAATTAATATCAATTTCACATGTAATTTATCAATATTTTTTCATATATTACTTAAATTATATATTATATATACTTTTACTATTGTAAGAATTAGACGACCGTAAGACGGTCGATGAAGAGATTCGGAATATAAACAAGCGAACAGAGAGGAGCGTCATGGTCATGCAGACTAAGTAGTCGGATTGGTATACGAGGGATCCGACGTTCAAATACCAGTCGGTCTCCGTTAATTTTTTCCGTAAATCTAATAGATATACTTTCAATCTCAGAAGTGGGATTCAAGCCCATGTTACCTCAGAGAGGATATAGCCTAGTTACCTGACAAGGAGAATTCAGTCGATTTTTGTGTGTGTCGATTTGTGTGTTGTTCGGTTCGAAATGAACCAAGTCGGGGAGTAAAAATACTCCAATGTCGTGTCGATCGTTCAAAAGTGAACGGAAAAAGTCGTGGAGTTAAAATACTCCAATGTCGTGTCGATCGTTCAAAAGTGAACGGAAAAAGTCGGGGAGTAAAGTACTCCAATGTCGTGTCGATCGTTCAAAAAATGAACGAATTCGGGAGCAGAAGCTCTAAGTTTCGGATAAAATTCCGATAGATGAAGACTCGGTACATTCGGGACGAATGTAATGCCAGAATGGCCGAGCTGTAAGAATTAGACGACCGTAAGCGGTCATGAAAGAGATTCGGAATATAAACAGCTAACAGAGAGGAGCCGTCGTGGTCATGCAGATTAAGTGTCGGATTAGTAAACGAGGGATCCCGAGTTCAAATCCAGTCGGTCTCCGTTTATTTTTCCGAATCTAATAAATATCTTTCAAATCAGAGAAATTAGAAATTTTCTTTTTCTTATAAATTGTATCACATTACCAACACATTATATTTACTGACGCACTCGATCGAAAATAAGACCTTTACGAATGAATCGATTCATCAGTAATAATCATCAGTTAATCATTCGGGGAATGTTTGATGAAAAAAAACACATTATACATAATCACAATAATCAATTATTTATAAACACATATCAACACTTTTACGGATTTACGCGCGTGATCAATAAATCGAAAAATTCACGAATTATAAATTACAAAGTAATTAATAACGAATAATAAATTACATTTAATTACCGATTAATCGGCTGGTTTTGAAATCATTTGATAAAGATGCGTTACATACACGATACACGTTACTCGATGAGAAGTTCTGTTTGACAACAATAAGCAGTCCATAGATTGTAATAAGTTATGTTGTATGTAAAATTCCTTCTCGAATGATTAACTGATAGTAATTATTATTGATGAACCGATTCATTCGTAAAGACTTTATTTTATCGATCGAGTGCATCAGTACACGTGTTGATAATGTGATACAATTTATAAAAAAAAGAAAATTTCTAATTTCTCTGATTGTATGTAATGTGTTGTTTAATTCGAGTAATTCTCAGTCGTCAAATAATTAATCGATAGCGGTTAATAGTGAAGGACCGATAGATTTGGATTTTTATAATCAATCGAATGAGTGAATATTGATATAATTCAAGAAAGAAAAACTTTGATTTATTCGGTGTGGATTCGTCGCATGGAAAAAAATTGCTATATGGCGGGTGAAATTATCTGTCTGTTTTTTGCAAGACATCGAATTTTTACAAGATAAGTGTGCATGCGTGCGTGTATGTGCATGCATGCATGCGAGCGCGAACGTACATGTGTTTTGTGTCTCGTAGCAAAGCAGCGTGCGCCCGGCGTAATCCCCCGCGTCGGACGATGAGTTGCACCGTCCCTGCCTATCTTCTATACTCAGCCCGTAATTGATAAACTATTTCTGCTTATAATTTAAAACCTAAGCTTCGGATAAAATTTTGTTAAAGGAAAAATTGTCTTAGAACAAAGTCAGGAATACGCTCCTTTAAGAACAAACGGTTGTTTTGAATCATCCTACACACACACACACACACACACACACACACACACACACACACACACACACACACACACACACACACACACACACACACACACACACACACACACACACACACACACACACACACACACACATATACATACATACATAAAGCTCGGATGAACAACGGTCTGTGAGCAGCAGAAATTAAATGCGTGTCCCTTTGACAAACGGAAATACGATTTTATCCGCGACACCGCGTCGTCGCTAATCTGTAAGAAGTCTACCGAGCTAATAAGTGATTAGAAAAACAACATGCGATAAGGGATTTGCGAAGGAGAATTTTTCGGGTCTCTACAGTCTGCAGAGGAGTCTCAACCCGAGTACATCACAGAAGAACGCGACTTATGTGCGTCAGTTATTATATACCGTGATCCAGGAATAAGTTCCCAAAGCGTCGTCGTGATCTCAACCGAGAGTCCAGGACGAATAGTCCCTAAGTGTTATAACGACTCAGGGTGAAATCACAACCGTCTTTAGGCGTCGTCGGATAAATCTCAGGATGATCTACCACCTAGTCGTTGCTAATGCGCGAATAAATACGAACGATATTCATCGAAAGAACACACGAACGTTGACCGTCGTGAATATTGTAACGAACGATATTCGTCGTGAGTGATAAGCATTGTGCGCATTTAATGTAGCGACACTTAAATAAAATATACAAATGTGTAAGCGAAAAGACAATGCGGATATCAGTGTTATCTCTATTGAATCACATGACAGACATACTGGTATTAACTGCAATGTTCAGGAAAGGTTGGCATTTAACCATGTATGATAATACGGATAATATTTGTAAATATATTAACTTTTCTGAAAATAGAAACTGTGGAAGCCTCAAAAGCGAAATAGAGTAATTATTTAGAATACCGTTTTCACCTCCGAGTTTGATAAAATTAAGCTCAATCGATGCGGTTTCAAAATAAAGGAATCTGGCAGAAAAACGCGGCAGTCTGCCTTGCGAACCGAGATATAAGCGTTAAAATTGATCACTTTTTTGGTTAAGAAATCTGTCATACCGACATAGTGCAGCGAACTGAGTATGCGCAATGGTTACGTTTGCATGCTCGGTGACCACACACATGCTGTGCAGTCAGATTCACGAAAATTAAACTTAATAATAATACAAAAAAAGAGAACCGCAACAGTTATTATTGCGAGACGTAAAATTATACACGCCACATCATGTTGGTCTCTTGTCTTACTAAAAAGATAAGTCAATACTAAAAATGTACTATCCTTGAATTAATTTAAAGCAGAATTAAAAGGTTTCATAAGATATAAATTTTAAAATCTTTTCTTTAGTTTTGCTTTAAATTAATTCAAGGATCTTTTCTGGACTTTGTATGTGTAAAAATTAAATTTTAGGTTTGTAAATAACGTTACATTGTAACAATGTAACTATGTAACAAAGTTATGTTGATGTTATATAACAGTTATATTTCATTTTAGTCACATGTTATATTGATATAACATCATGATTTTGCATGAGT